TCGTAAGAATGTAGGTTCTTGAATATATATATATATATATATATATATATATACCTGAGTACGCGGACAGTTCAAAAGAAACCTTATTCTTCGGGGAAAACAATAAAAACATGTCAACGTAACCCACCTTGAAGATCCAGAATAGCGTCTCCAACTCTCGCACGCGATCACTATTCAGCCTGCCATCGTCAACTAATCTACATCTAGAGATATTTAAAAAACAAGTCGCCACATCCAATCTCGGATTTAAATCGTGACGTCACAAAGACTGCACCTCCGACAAGACCATCCATCTCCTTCAACTAGCTCCCACATATATACGGTTGACACCCCTAATTTCCATAGCTTACGCCGCCAGGCTAATTTCTCAGACCAAGAACATCCTACGGACTATTTTTCAGAGACGGCATCTAGCAGAGAAACGGTTCCAAGTGACGGCGACTATTCACAACTTCTCTGGATGATCCGTCGAGCTTCAGGCTAAGTCAGCGAAATAACTAATGGTCAACCAGTAACAGACTATAAGAAAAAGCTAACGTCTCGGCTCACAAACCTAACGGCAAAATACCCAGCACATACATCACAAATTGGAAGTCGTATACCATTAATGAAGCCAAACTGATGGGACCAATAAGGAACAAAAGTTCCCAGTTAAACATGGTATCTCGGCAGTAATCCATAAAAATATGCTTGCTGGTAGTCCTCGAGCCCCCTTCACAAGCCATCCTGATCAAAAAGGACATCGAAGTGTCCGCAGTGGATCGGGTTACTTCTGTACTATGGTGGCGCCCGAAAAAGGGGCTAGAATGGTTTGTGCGAACTACAGGAGTATAAGCCTGATAGATATCGCGGGCAAAACCTTGCAATATTACTAATTTTCGGCTTTTCGATGTTACAGAAGCTGGAGATTTTCCCAAAAACCGAAACAGGGAGAATTCCGTTCGGGAACAAGCTGCGTCGACAAACCTAACCACGCCACCCTGTGTTACGGAACACCGATAAAGGTCCAGCAACTAACCACCGTTTGCTTCATTGAGTCCAGTACAGCACTTGACTTAGTCAAAAGCGAATGCCTATCATCTTTTTAGAAAGCCGTCAACATATCAGATGAGCCGATGAATCCCGCCAAAGCGTGCTACGCTAGCAAGAAAGCCCGCATCCGCGTCTGCTTTCAACTAGGTGTTCAGTAAGGCCGCCCTTTTTGCAGATGCTTTTCAACATCATGATCGACCGAACAATGTTGCATCCAATCGGCGGCATCCCTAAAGTGCCAATATGCTGGAGATACTGCCGTCCTGAGCAAAGCTCGAACAGAACTGCAAACTGTCACTGGTCGATTAGAAGTATTCATCCAGCAGACATTCTCCCGAAGGCTGCCGTAGAATACAAATTACTATGCTACTCATTTCGAAGAAAGTAGTCCAAGATACAAACGAAAACAACGGGTGCAAAGTAGGCCGTTGGAAGGGGTTCGAAGGTTTTCTTTCTAAGCGTGATACACATAGGACATTCGTGTGGGAGTGAGGAAGCCAGTGGGACCAAACGGCAAGTATCACGTTCGATCATCTCGCTTGCAGTCAATAGTACTCTCCACGGTGTTAACAGAAGACAGCTGAATCAGTCATTCCTGGTGTTCCTTAACGGAACGTGCTGCACAGAAGATCATTCGTGTTTTAGCTATATCTTCTGTTGACAGAGCATACTAGATGACTGTAAGCTCTCGGAGAACCCACTACCGGTTTTGCGGCCAAGCATTCTGGTCTAAACATTTATGTTACGCTGCCGATGACTATGATGACGATAACCGTGTTTCCATTATCTCTATGTTGCATTTGAACAGCAAGCAGAACATACCATCAATGGAAACCTGGGGAATGCGTCTAGCTGTTAGGCCCTAAGAATGGCGAAATCTGTTGTGGACCTTCAAGAGAAAATATACCAGCTAAAACATGAGGCAGCTTTTGTGCAGCACATTCAGTTGAAAAATACCATTCAACCAACTATCATATCATATCAAATTCAGCCGATATTCCCGGTAGAACCACAGCTGATAAAACATGAATCTTGCTCTCTAGTTACGCTAGCTTTCCGATCTCATGCCAGTGTCGAGTATGTAACACACTCAGAAAGAAAACACAAGTCCCATTCACATGATGAGAATCAACCTGTGGGCCATGGGTAACAGCAGCGCGATCAGTTCCCCTGCTTATGAAGTTATACTCCTTTCGGTTAAAGTTGAGGTGACATGGTAATCAGCGGAATCCCGTTTAAAGGTAATGATCGATATAGGGGTATAAAACATCTGCAGTGGTGACAGTGAAACTGTCCAAGGGACCGGACCCCCCGCATGTGTGATTCCGGGAGTTGCGCGATCACGTATATACGTCTTGATCAGTATTAGAGTAATTATCCCCAAAACGTTAAATCAGATTACACTATTAAACCAAGAGACGGACAAGAACGGAATGCCAAAAATGATTCATAGATCAGTAAACCCGAGACTATTTTAGCTCATCAATTGCCATCAGCATTATTGTTGCACTGTGGAACACCGCTGCTTACCTACCACAAAACCATAAAGATTTGTTTAAATGAATCGTCAAAATGAATATAAAAATGTAAAACTGGATCAAGGTATACCTTACAGGCGTGAGTACTCCCAAAAAACACAGGGAACGTGCACAAGGAAGCGACGCGTCGTGTGCGCGCTATGGTGTGGTTGACCTTCGTACACCTCTAAACACTGGTTCAGTTTGGATAGAAGCTGACAGGTGTAAATGACATCGATTCGTAAGCCGACTGCTCATGGCAAGCAAATTAACGAAACCCAAAAACGTTACGCAGTCTTCTTCATTCCCTTCTACAAAGTCACACTCAACCGACCACTTCGTTCGCATAACCCCAGATTCGACACCGGAAACAATATGTTGCTTTAGCACGTGTAAAAAATATCTGAATCACTACAAACTCTGAAACTGTGGCCAAGCCAGCGCAACCTGTGCAGTGTGATTAGTTCATCTATTGAGGGTGAGTTATTTCTCCCGAATACCATTCGACGTACTTCAGAATTGCTGATCCGGTGTTCCCACCAGATTCGGGCAATGCTC